ACAAAAGCTAGGACTCTCCCAGCTGGACATTTAGTTTATGTCAATGAAATTGTTTATAAGGTAATTCTTCCTAATAAATCTATGTGGTATTGTTTTATCAGATGGTCATGAAGATTCTAGATATAAAATGTTATTTAAAGGATTAAAACATCATACGACTCGTTGAAAAATGATCAGCATATCTGCATTTTTGTTCAAAAATATTAAAAGGTGATTAATAGACCTATTCACTTTCGGTATGACTTTTATTTTGTATTTCAGCTTATTCGTATTCTCTTTACCATCTTTGATTTTGATAGTAGCAAAAAAAAAAAATAGAAAATAACAGTTAGCTAAATATTTTGTTTTCTTCTTTTACTAGATTCTGTTTCATGCAAATCAAAACAGAAAATAAGTAAAATATTCCTATACCTGTTACATGTATAGAACTACACATTCTCTTGAAGTCTTTTTAGTTTAGCTATGACAATTTAGTAGTTGCTTAATTTTATCACTTTTTAAATATTTATTTTATGGTTCATACAACCACTTCTGAAAACATATGTGCCATGAAAGAAAAAATATAAATTTTAATAAATAATAAAAAATAACATTCTTTTTCAATGTGAAACAACAGTAACAAGAAACTAAAGCATATGTATTTATTTTTTGACGTTTATCGTCGATCATTGTGAGAGTGTTTATGACGAAAAATATGAAAGAAAAAAATGTGATTTTTATGATAGAATTATACATTGTTCCCTTATGAATAAAGTGAAATCTTCATTCTAACACACATACTCAATTAAATTCATTTAAAAACTCGAATGATAGCAACATTACAAAATAGTAACAATAATAACAATATCGATTTACTTTATGATTTATGTAAACAAAATCAAGTTGAAAAAGTTAAAACTTTAGTTCCATTATTATTTACTGATAATATTGAAATAATAAATAAAATAAATACTTCAACGGGTTCAACATGTTTACATGTTGCATGTTATTATGGTCATAGAGAAATTGTCCAAATTTTATTAGATTATGGTGCAGTACATTCAATTAGAAATTTACACCATAATTTAACACCCTATGAAGAAGCTTATACAGAAAACATAAAACAATTATTTCTGAAACAACGAAAATTATTTTCGTCTGATTATGATTATATTGAATGGTCAATGGTTGGTAATGATCTAATTGACAAACGTAAAGAATTTCGACAAGCAATTGATCTTTATAAAACCTATGATAATCATCATCATTTAGTATCAAAACTAATAGCAGAATTTATTCAATATTATTTAAACGAATATTTAAAGAATAACGACGATCAAGAAGATCAAATTTCATTTGAACAAATTCAAATAATTGAACATTTCTTTAAACAAGCCATAGAAGAACAGGATTATTTAACTTATTTTATAAAAGCTTATACATTAACAGTTAATTTTTATAAGATTTTAAATAAATATTTAGCTCTTTATATATTACAATATTTTGATAAAACAAAAGATTTTTGTTCAAACTATTGTTTAGTTAATTGTTTAGTTCATATCGTTACATTATTAATTTATCTTCCAGATGTTTCGAAATATGAATATAAA